CCCCATGTACTGTATACCTATTAATTCATCAGAGACAGACAAAATTCAAAACCTGCTGATTAAGATTGAAAGGCAAAGTTTAAAACTGGGCACAAGCTCTGGACATTTCTAACCCTAATTGCTGCTGTTAAAGTGGTTCATCTAATTTCAGCAGGATGTTGGCCATGGTGTTATTTTTCCTACTTCTTTTTAGAAGCAAAAGTGAAGTGTTTCAGTTTTTGGTATTTTATGGGAAGTCATGCTAGAGAGTGTGAAGCACTGTACGCTCCCTTTTGCCATGGAGAGCAGCAATGTCTAATCCATGGATATGGAATGAAACATAGTGGAATGTATGCACAAGAAAACCCAGAATCCCTGAATGTGTGGTATGTTTATTGCATTCCATTTGTAGTGAACAAGAGAAAAGCAATTATTGGTTGTGCCCTGGAAAATGTATGTGCTAGTATCATATTGATGTTTATCTTTCCAGGTCAGAGGAGAAGACAGAAGGAAGTCTTCTCTTCTTACAATGCATAATTCACTTGTGAAATTCTCCACATAAGATTTAGCAGTAGCCATTTAGCCTGCAATCCCCAGGTCCCAGGCAGAAACTTCTGCGGCCATTAGAAAAACTAGAAATCCCTTCCAAGGTCAGCAGTTTTACTCTGACATTGAAGTGGGAGATCTCATATCACATCCCTGCTTTCACTAGTCACCATGGTAGTTGCTGAGACAAAGGAACAAAAGGATTGTGTTCAGGGTATGCTGGGATGCAATCAGATGGATCGTTTGTGGGACAAGTCTGGTGCAAACTATTTTCCAGCCATCAGATGATATACAGTGGTGCCTCGCAGTACGATGTTAATTCGTTCCATCGTAAAGCGAAATTAAAAAGCCCATAGAAACGCATTAAAACTTGTTTAATGCGTTCCAATGGGCTTAAAACTCACCGTCCAGTGAAGATCCTCCATAGGGCAGCCATTTTCACTGCCTGTCTTGCGAGGAATCCGTCCCTAAACACAGCGAGGAGCCATTTTATTCACCCAGTGGCCATTTTGAAACCACCGATCAGCTGTTGGAAAATTGTCGTTTTGCGAAGAATCGGTTCCCGAAGCAGGGAACTGATCATCGCAAAGCAAAATTCCCCTATAGGAAACATCGTTTTGCGATCGCAAAAGCGATCGCAAAAAGTTCATCGTAATGCGATTCCGTCGTTAAACGAAGCTATCGTAATGCGAGGCACCACTGTACAGGGGATGGCAAACCAGCCTGACCCTGTTCCATGCCCAAGCCAGACCTTTTTAGTCCAGCGGTAAGGTTACTCTTTGGAACTGGATTGGAGTGATACCTGTGTGCACAAAACAATTGCTATAAGGGAAATAACTCTCAGTGAAAGGACCCTTTCCAGTGCAATCAAATGCAATTGATCACACCCCATATTGCTGGCAGGAATCTGGCTTTGAGTGATACAACATCTCCAGAACTGGAGTGCTCTGTCTCGTATCCTCTTTTTTTCTTACCATTGCATCTTCGGGTCATAGAATCATAGAAAAGTGAAGTTTGAAGGGGCCTACAAGGCCATGAAGTCAAATTCCCTGCTCAACAAAGGAATACAATCAATGCATATCTGCCAGGTGATTATTTAGATTTTTCTTGAATGCCTCCAGTTTTGGAGCACTCACCAACTCCTGAGGTAACTGATTCCACTGTTGTACTGCTCTAACAGTTAGGACATTTTTCCTGATATTCAACAGAAATCTGGCTTCCTTTAACTTGACCCCATTTTTGCATGTCCTGCACTCTGGGATGATCGAGAACAGATCTTGCCCCTCCTCTGTATGACAGCCTTTCAAATAGTTGAAAAGAGCTATCATATCACCCCCTCAGCCTTCTTTTCTCAAGGTCAAACTATAGTTTACTGAGAGTGGCCAATATTTTGTTCATCTGAGCATAATGTAAAGTTACACCAGTGTACATGCACTGGCTGTCGCACCCAACAAGAAGAAATGGTGTCATGGAATTGTTCATCCTTGCCATGAGCACTTGCACAATGCAGCTGCAGAAGTGTTTCAGGGATTCCACTTCCACCTCAGGAGTGGAGTTTTGCGAATTGCTTAAGTGCTAGAAGATGTCTAAATGTCAAAGGAGAAGCTTCTATAGTTTGCATATAAGTTTGAGTTGTTTTGTCCTTGGGAGGGAAACACAGGTTTTGTGTGCAAGTATTCAGACTCTAAACTCTAAAGCATGCCACAATCATATCTTCGGAATAAGATTTCAGCTTCTAACGATTTGCTATCTGTAACATATTTGATCCCTAGATAGCTTTTTGTTAGTAATGATACAGTCATGGAGGTTATTTACAGCCTGGTGACGTTATAGGCCATGCTGGGGGGGGGGCGGGATTCTGGGAGCTGTGGTCTAAAAAAACAATTTTTCAAAACTCAGGTTATGTTTGTTCACATTTGTGAGCTATGGCAGCTAAACATACTTTACATGCATATTTGCAGAGAAGATCAGGTGCTAAGGGACAAACTGCTTTCATTCCTTGTTGCTTTTGAGCTTTCCATGACATCTAACTGGTCAGGGTGGGAAGCCTAATTATGGATTGGGGAAACTTATAACCAGATTCTGCTCGGCTGCCTTTAATTTTTTGTATTGTCTCAGTTCTTTTGCTTTATCTGCAAGAAAGCCAGAATTCCTTCAGTGAAAAACAGGAATCCTAGCGAAAAAAACAAGTGTTGCTAATTATTGATAGAACTAGGGTAGATTTGAAAGTATCACTCCTCTTGCATAAGATTTTGGACAGCCCCATCATCAAGGTCACAAAGGGTCACAGGCCAAGTGACCTGATTGTATACCCAAGGGCACCCCCGTTCTCTTGTGTAACGAAAAAAATGGAATGCCAAGAACAACTGTAAATATTTGTGTTTCATACTATATTTAGTTCTCTCTAACAAGGTTTTAAGGAGCAAGCCAATTGATAAAATTCCGTTTTTAGATCTGGCATACAACCAGCAACTAAAAATAGAAAATCCAAGGTTTTCAACTTGCTATTTTAGGCTCTGAACTTCCAACAGTCCAAATTCAGAGGAGCAGGAGGTAGAGTGACACTTGGAATCTATACACCCAAGTCTCCATTTCAAAGCTATGTGAGACAAGTAGGTGAGTTGATCACCTTCTGGGTGGCTCTTCACTAGGTTATGACCTCACGTGATAGCCTGACAGGGAAGATCACTATGATCTTTCATGTTTCAGTAGCATTACAGTTATACTTGGCATACAGAATAACATATATAGGCAAGGAAGAGAAAATATGTATTTGTAATATACCTATGTAGTCTTAATGACAGATAAGGCATAGTCGTCATTCTTGTCTCAATTTATTCATTACATAATTATTTCCTAGTTACATTTATATCATATCTTTCGTCTAGTGACCTAAAGACAGTATGCCTGGCTCTCATCCTCCTCAATGCATCATCATACCAGTCCTGAAAGGCTAGGTTGATTGAGATGAAGTGGCCCAAGGTCACCCAGTGAGTTTCATGGCTAAGTGCAGATTTGAACTCTCCCAAGTTCTAGCATGATGCTCCAGCCACTATAAGACACTGGCTCTTTTTATATGTTGGAGTGTGTATCCCAGCTTTCTCCCAACAGGGAGACTTAAGGCAACCCAGTTTTCTGTCAATGTTCCTTCTGAATTTTCTTTGGGTCCCAGTCTCGCACCCCAAGACGGGGTGGTGGTGGTGGGCAAACAACTCATGACTCAGAATCAAAGCTTGGGATTTGGGACTCAGACCTGAAGCCTCAGATTTGAGACTCCGGCCCGAGGACTTGACAACATCCCTGCTTCAAAACCATTTTGAGAATAGGATAGGCTGCAAGGTCGCAACTGGTCTGTAGTTACCAGATAAGCCTTGTGGTCGAACAAGGATTTGCAACCAGATTTCCCCAATAAAGTGCAAAATTGAGGGATTTATTAAAGACAGCTATGAGAAAATAGGTTTGGACCATTGACAGTTGTTCATTTTAATTATTCAGTTCTCTTTCCTGTGAAGGTTTCAAATTTCTTCTCATTGAGCTTTTACTGAAATTGATTTATTTCACTCCTTTTTGGGGGAGATATTGATATTTTTTGCAATTGAAAAAAAGAGAACAACAGGAATTGAATAACTGGTGTCACTCAGAGTGTAAACATCAGCCCAATACTACTTGCTTTTAAGCCGCCAAATACAGGATTGCAGCCTATGTGACCATTCCTTGGTAATCTTGTCCTAGTGTTGTTAAAGAAAATGCAATAAAATGGGCAGAAACTCCAAAGAAGAAGCTCTTAACTAAAGAGGCAGTAACCATGAAAAAAAATCTGTAACTGTTTTTGCCAGTTCACAGCAAGTTCAAAACTCCTGGTGTTGTGTTTGTTCTTCCGGTTTTAAAAAAAAATCACCACAAATAATATTTATAAAAAGATGAGAGGATGACACAGAAACTCTATAATGCAATGGACTATATAATATGTTGTCTGAATTATTTGCTGGAAAGCTAGTGAGCAAAGGACAGCAAACCTAGGCAAAAGTGTTACTATGGTCTTTTGGAGAGCTGCTATCCTTCTGAAAGTCCTATCGGGCTGTGTCTAGAATCAATAAAAGATTACAACAAACATCTGAGAAACAGTGTCAGACTATCAGAAATGCTAACATTTTGTTCTCCGTGTAAACAACCAATGAAGGCCAGTGGCAATAAGCATGCTGTGCAGTGGCTCTTCTCAAAAGGCCACTGCAAATCTTACATAATCACAGCTGGAATTAATTTGAGATTTGTTTAATGAATGACTACAATGTAGGTCAAGGCATGAAGATGGCTTGCACAGACCTTAGCATCATATCATGAAAGTAACATAGAAGGCAGAACAATCCAATGATTCTTTTTTTAAAAAAAATTTGAAATAAAGAAAAAGATGCATATGTATATTCCTTTATCCATAGGAACTTCCTGCACAATGATTTGTCTCTTTCTCCTGGTAGGTGGAGCAGATCCTATCAGAGTTCCGACTACGGGAAGAGGATCTGAAAAAGGTGATGCGTCGGATGCAGAAGGAAATGGACCGAGGGTTAAAGCTGGACACACACGAGGAAGCCTCGGTGAAGATGCTGCCCACTTATGTACGATCTACCCCTGAGGGATCAGGTAATTTGTTGCCCTGTTTAGAATACCTTATAGGAAACGTAACCATTGCCTTTCCTCAACTCTGTCCTGTCAGGGCTGTCCCGGATGTTCTGATGGCTACCTAAGAAAGATCTAAAGCACTGGTTCTTAACTTTGAGTTACTCAGGAGTTTTGGACTGCAACTCCCAGAAGCCTTCACCACCAACTGTGTTGACTGGGGTTTCTGGGAGTTGCAGTTCAAAAACATCCGAGTAACAAAGGTTAAGAACCACTGATCTAAAGGATCACTCCTACCACCTTTTAATGGCATCTCAAATCAGCCACTAATTTCTTTCATTGCCTTTTTAAGATTTTATTTTAAACTGAACAACTTGAAGAGATAATTGTGGTTCTGCCAATGGTGTTACTCATCTACAGTCAGAATGTGAGCTTACAATCAAGCTACAGACTGAAGATTATAATCCAAAGGGGGGGAGGGCCCCTCCCAGTTTGGATGTTGCCAATCCTGAAACTAATGTACAATGGTGCCTCGCTTAACAACGTTAATTCGTTCCAGCGAAATCGCTGTAGAGCGAAAACGTCGTAAAGTGAAATAAAAAAACCCATTAAAACCCAGTTAATGTGTTCTAATGGGCTAAAAACTCACAGTCCAGCGAAGATCCTCCATACGGCGGCCATTTTCGGTGCCTATATAGTGAGGAATCCATCCCTAAGCACAGCGGGGAGCCATTTTGAGCACCCGGCTGCCATATTGAAAACCCGACAATCAGCTGTTTTGATTGTCGTAATGCGAAGAATTGGTTCCCGAAGCAGGGAACAGATGTTCGCAAAGTGAAAAAAACCCATTTAGACCATTGTCTTGCGATCGCAATTGCGCTCGCAAAGCATTGTCATGAAGCGGATTCATCGTAATGTGGGGTAATCGTTAAGCAGGGCACAACTGTATCTTCTGAACAAGCATATCCTGGCTTTATTCTGATATTTGCCAAAATTAATTGGCCAGTTCCATTTGTTCATTAGTCTCTTAATAGGATTTGCCGCTTAAGCATTTGTACCAATATTGCTTGCTAAGCAATACTGCCAAACAAAGCATCTTATTTAATTTCAGTCTTCCCTCCATAACGTTTGTCAAATAAAACATTCACTGACAGCATATGTGTTAACCAGAGAGTTGGGAATGGGGATTATATGACTGATTTCATTTATGATTCAATGTGGTGATTTCTGATTTAACTCTTATTAAGATAATCAGCAGAGACCTTTTTCTCGGTCCCACCACCTTCACAGTCTGTTGCTACTCTCAGACTTAGGAACTCCCTCCCACAGGAGGCCAAGCTGGCCCCATCTTTGCTGTCCTTCTGCAAGCAAAGACCTTTCTCTTCAGGCAGGCTTTCCTTTAATGACTGGCTGCCCGAGTGACATTTTCAAATAGATTATTGTGCCTTAGTGCTTCTAATATGTTTTTGCTGTTGCTTTTATTTACTGTTTTTTTAGTATGTACATATTTGTTTGGCCCTTTTTAGTTTGTGCATACTTACTGTTTTTAGTTTTAAATATTGTCTTCTAATGTTGTGAGCTGCCCTGGGTCCTCTTTTAAAGAGAAAGGCAAAGTACACATATTTTACATAAATAAATAACAGGGATGGGAACTCAAGTTGTGGGACTTTCTCGTTCTTGAATCTTTTCCCCCCCCCCCCGAATGACCTGGACTTGACTTGCAACTCCAGAACGACACGCACCTCTCCCTTGTTTACAGGGAAAAATTATTTTTAATAGGGACTTGGACTTGGGGCTTCAGACCCGGGAGTTGGTTCCCAAGTCTTGGTCTCAGACTTGGGACTTGGACCCAAAGGCTTGCCAACCTCCCTGATAAATATAATTAAATGTTTCTAATTAAATGTGGGAATTCCTGTCTACCTGGGTGGAATATGGACAACTAACCAGCAAGCAACATTTCCCCCTCTCCCTTTTTGGTAGTTTGTTGGTAGGTTTCTGGAGCAAATTCCACAATAAGGGGAGATTCTAAGTGACTTCCTCCATATGTTTCCTTCACTTTGGGGGCAATTAGGAATTTGATAACAGCGTACATGTGTTAATCATTTCTGTGTCCCATAATACTCATATGAGGTGGGATGTTGCTTTGCCTGATGTTCCCGTCGTAAAGTGAGACTTCGTTTAGTCATTTAGTCGTGTCCGACTCTTCGTGACCCCATGGACCAGAGCACGCCAGGCCCTCCTATCTTCCACTGCCTCTGACTACACAGACTAATTGATGCATTCAGATTGAAGGTCTGCATATAGCTTAAATAGAAGTTGGATTTATATATATTATCATATTAATGTATTCGCGAAGGCTTTCACGGCCGGGATCTAATGGTTGTTGTGGGTTTTTCGGGCTTTTTGGCCATGTTCTGAAGGTTGTTCTTTCTAACGTTGTTCTTCCTAACGTTTCGCCAGGCTCTGTGGCTGGCATCTTCAGAGGACAGCACTCTGGTCAGGTTACAGGTTGCTGTCCTCTGAAGATGCCGGCCACAGAGACTGGCGAAACGTTAGGAAGAACAACCTTCAGAACACAGCCAAAGAACCCGAAAAACCCACAACAACCATTATCATATTATAATACTAAAATTGGTTCATATTAGTTTTTAAGTACAAAAACATCTTAACATTTGAAGGGAAAAATGCCTTGAAAAGTGTTTTCAGTTCCAGAAATGTACTAGGAAAAGGAACAAGTAAATGGTACTTGTTTACTTGAAATTATGTAACATTATCAACATCATCGTAAAAATATGTTGTTGTTGTTGTTGTTTGATTGTTTGAAAAGGAACCCAAGCTGTAAGCTTACATCTGAGGAACGATTGCGTGCATAATGACCAAGCTGGTGTCAGTTCTCCTCAAGTTGTTACAGAGTTTAAAATGGCATCACTGGGCTCCTCCAGAATGATTTAAAAGGCAAGAAGTTAGGATGATGTGCTGTTTATTTCTGAAGGATGTGGGTCCAAGTCCCTTGGATAGCTGCTTCTACTTTCTAGGTAAAACTGAACAGTCACTTCTGGAGGACCTCTTCTTTGGCTTAGATTGGCACTTCCTTTAGGACGAGAAATAAACAAAGTCGCTGAATGGCTCCTTCCTTTGGGAGCAAAGTTCCTTCTGATTTTCCGGAGCGCTGCATGGGAGCCCTGCCCTGTGGGCGCAGAGTTCCAGCTGCAGCCGGAAGCAAATGGGCGGCCCTGATCCAGCACTGTGCAGCCACACAGCTTAGAAGGAACGTTGTTTGGGAGTAAAAAATCAAATCAAACCAGGATGGTCAAATGTGGTATTTCCCTCATCATACTTCTATGTGTTTCCCTTTAAGACAGGGTGGAGGAACTGTTGGCCTTCTAGATGTTGATGGGCTCCCCTTGCTCCTCACCATTCCTCAGTCTGGCCAGGGCTAATCAGAACTAGAGCTGGACAATATCCAGAGAGTTACACTTAGACGGAATATATTTGGTGTATGTATCTCCCAGCTCAGCTTTTGGAGAGAGAAACTAAACAGCCACAACACTATCACCGGGCAGCAATTTGACATTAATTATCTGGACCTTGAAATTACCTAATTACAATTCTGCTTTCGTAAATGTCTTCCTCCTGCAGCAACCCCACTCCTTGCTTAGTCTGGGAGTTGCCATGTACAAAGCAGCCTGTTTTTCACAGATCTAATTTAGACAACAGGGTGTAGTGGTCACAGTGTGAATGAATAGATGCAATGAATGAAAGAATAAAGGCACTCTGGTTTTGCAGAGGTTGGAGATTTCCTGTCTTTGGATCTCGGGGGCACCAATTTCCGAGTGATGCTCGTAAAAGTGGGTGAAGGTGAAGAAGGACAATGGACCGTGAAGACAAAGCACCAAATGTATTCCATCCCGGAGGACGCCATGACAGGCACAGCTGAAATGGTGAGCCAGATTATCAAGTCTAAGTGAGTGATGTTTTGCAGACAGGTGTCAGGAATCTCATTTTTGGTGGCTGGTTTGGCTGGGCAGTTCTGAGAGTTGCAATCCAAAAAAAATACCTGTTGAAAATGTTGATCAATACTCTGTCCCATTAAGACACCTGATGTCTACAGACACATGCACCTCCTTTCATCCTGACATTCCACTACCAAGCATCATCATCACAATTATTATTTTTCTTCTGTTCTTCTATTTTCCCCTGATCACCATGAATGCAAATGAGTGAGAGCTGCTCAATTAAGAGCCAGAAGCACAACCGCCCAATATTAATTATCATGTTTTTAATTATTTGTGAATTTTAAAATGCTGTGTTGGAAGCCCCCTTGGGTCACCACAAAGGGAGAAAAGTAGAATAGAAATCAAATAATTAAATAAATGATTGAAATAAGAAAAAAGACAAGGAAAATGGGTGGGAAACAGAGGAGTTTACATGTAGATAAGAAAACTACATGATAAATGTCTTGTCGGACAGTACACTAATAATCAAAATCGATACCTTAGTCAATTAGGCAGTAGTTTCCAGCCTTGGGTGACCCAGGTGTTTTTGGACTGCAGTTCCCAGAATCCTTCACCACCAGCTGTGCTGGGTAGGGTTTCTGGGAGTTGTAGTCCAAGAACACCTGTTTTACCTAAGGTTGGGAACCAGGTGGCACTCTAGGACAGAGTGCCACCTAGTGGTATATAACTGATATTCAACAAATCTGTAAAATTAATCAGCAGGAAGGAGGGAGAACATACACTCAATAGATCCTGGCTTCTGTGACCCCCCCTCAACATGTTTCTAGGTTACCTTCCCCAAATGCTCTTGATGTTGCCTATCATTAGGTGGAAATTATCTGAAAGAAAGAAAGAAAGAAAGAAAGAAAGAAAGAAAGAAAGAAAGAAAGAAAGAAAGAAAGAAAGAAAGAAAGAAAGAAAGAAAGAACGACCATACATAGCTGGTTCAAGCTGGGATCAAACAACACCTTGTCCCAAAAGTTTAGTGTACGGCACACCACACGACCTCCAGCTTTGTTTCTGGACAGCCTTTGCTGCTTGCCATTACAGGTTTACATGCCTCCTATATCCCCACCTTGAAATTAGCCCTCCGCATGATCAAGTGAACACCTGCATTTAACTATAGTATGGATATAGTATAGATAAATATGGTTAGATGGGATTTCAGATAGGAAGTCAGCATAATGGACAGAATAGTAAGAAGAGTTTTTATTGCTGCTTTTAATCATCTCCCACTGTTTTATTGTATTTTAATGGTTTGTGTGCTGCTGCTTCGAGGACCTTCAAAGCAGCATGAAAATAAACTTTATTCTTGCTGCATTAAAGTGCAGCAATAGATATTGCACAACAGAGCAAATCAGCAATTCTAAAAATGGGGGCACCTCATATAAAAAAATTATACAGTATTTTGAAACTGGACCTCAGATTGGCACCAAATTTGGAAAAGATAAAGTAACCAATCTGCTCTTGTTCTGTGCTAAATTTGGAGACAGATGCACAAATGGGCTTTAATTTTTGTTTAGTTTTTAAAGTAACCCCCCCCCCCCGGAAGACACTGGTGACCTTTTCTATCTGCAGATTTAAAACAGATCAAATACATTGAAAGTACCAAATTTGCTTATCTTAAAAGAGATGGAAGAGTTTACAGAATACCTACTTCTGCTCACTGCCATTCACACTTGTTAAAAAACAGCCCTGACAATAATTTTGTGCTTGTGTGTGACGTGGTTAACTGATGGAATAAGGACTCCGCTTCTGGGATTTTCCCTTGCATGGTGCCACTTTGTGAATTGTAGTGAGCACAACAAGGTATCCTGTAGACCATCTTGATTGCTGTCATTGGTGTTGTCAACATTCAGGTTACCGTTTGCATTGTAAAGCTTAACATCTTTTTCAGTGTTGTCAACATTCAGGTTACCCTTTGCATTGTAAAACTTAACATCTTTTTTCCTGCTGGCCATGCAGGCGCAATATTACGCAGAAATATTGTCTGGCCATGCAGGCGCAATATTACGCAGAACTATTGTGCCATTTCCTGGCTATTTGAACTGTGGATATGGAAGCACAATATCCCACATTCATGGACCTGTGGTTTTTTGAAGATCCATGAAATAGTGTAACTCGAAACATGACTTTGGCTCTTTTTTCTCTGTTTGACATTTTGAGGAAGTAAGTCTTGGGGAACTGGCAGGTTGGCCAGATGCTTAAGAGACCAGGAGCTCCTCCACCTTGAATATCTCTTGTAATGCGAGGAACATCTGCTGAAGTTCCTTCTTTGGCACAAGTGTTCAAGGCATGCAGGAGCCCTTTTGCATCTAGCCATCCTACAGGATCTAGGGGGCTGCCTTTGATACTGTCCAGTGACTCATTGTAGGCAGCTTCCAAACAAGGCTAACTGCAAAAAGGGAAGGGAAATGATCATTGAACGGCACTGATCTTTTTGATTCTTCCTCCCACCCCAGCTCTTCGATTACATTTCAGAATGTATCTCTGACTTCCTAGACAAACATCAGATGAAGCACAAAAAGCTACCTCTGGGCTTCACATTTTCCTTCCCTGTTCGACATGAAGACATCGACAAGGTGGGTTTGAGGACATGGACTTCTCCCTCCTCCACCTGGTCACATTTTTTCCACCATGAGTTAGTTAACTGTTTTTCTTTTTTGCAATATAGAGGTGCACCCTATTTCTTCTTCTGCAGCATCCTAGCCATTCAGCAGACTGTATAGTGGTGCTCAGAGGACAGACTGTGTAACTGCTTTTAATGGTGTCTGGGTTTTTAAAATAATGTAATTGTTAATTGTTTCATTTTGCTTGCACACTGCTTGGAATATTTGTCAGATCAGGAATAAACATTTTTGCTGGAATTCCCTAGGGAGGGATACATGGACCCTGCTGTGCTGGATTTTAAACTGATTTTCACAAACATTTAGAATATTCCGTGCTATTTTCAGCTGTTGCGATGTAAACTATTTTTTAAATGAAAATGCATAGTACTCTATACAGTACAGTATTGTTTTATATTGCTGCTGATCTACTGTTTAGTGATCTGACATTTTAATATGGGCTGTAATTTAACTATTATAGTATGGTGAATTTAACTGGCTTTGGTTTTATTGTATAGAACAGTGGTTCTTAACCTTGGGTTACTCAGGTGTTTTTGGACTGCAACTCCCAGAAGCCTTCACCACCAGCTGTGTTGGCTGGGGTTTCTGGGAGTTGCAGTTCAAAAACATCTGAGTAACCCAAGGTTAAGAACCACTGATATAGAATGATTTATATTTCAGCTGGTGTGAGCCACCTAAAAACAATCAGACAAATACTTACACAAAGTTTGGGCTAAGGTGGTGAAATTGTGGGAGGTAAAATATAGTGCACCCTAATTCTGCACTGCATCCAGATTAGGAGATTGAGATGGTGGCCAATCAGGGCCATGCTGACAGTAGTGTTGCTATGCCTGGTCAAGGTTTTGCAAATGTGGCTGGACTTCAGTTCCCATTAACCCTCTCCAGGATATTGTATGGTGAGGGGCGATAGGAGCTGCAGTCCACAGCCTTTGGAAGGTCATGTGCCCCCCTCCTCAGTGTAGGACCAATGCCCAATCAAATCAAACAAAAGTGTTCCTGATAAGACTGATTTTATATAGAAGTCTCATTCATTTAAAGGACATACAGTGGTGCCTCGTTAGACGAAAAACCTGCAAGAAGATTGGGTTTTGTGATCACTATGGTGCCTCGCAAGACCTTTTTTTCTATGACCGTGCTTCGCAAGACTTTTTTTTTAGACCGATGTTTCACAAAAGGTTGTTTTTTAGACCGATGCTTTGCAAGACTTTTTTTTGAGACCGATGCATAGGAAACCTCGCAAGATGATTTTTTCACAAGACGATGATTTTCCCGGAACGAATTAAAATCGTCTTGCGAGGCACCACTGTACATACAAATAGTAGAAGGTTGCGTCCAAGTGCTCCAGATTCTAGGAGAACGGTTGCCACAAATGTCCTCATTCTCTGTTGCCATCTCTACTGTGTGAGTTTGCTTGCAGTGCAAAGCTTCTGAATTTTCAACCAAAAAAAATCCCTTTTCCTAAAGCAGGTGCCATTGTGATCAAGGAGACTATGCTTACATTGTTACTTTTGAATTCATCCCTTCCATCTGTTGTTTTTACAGGGGATCCTGTTGAACTGGACTAAAGGCTTCAAAGCATCAGGAGCTGAAGGGAACAACGTAGTGGGGCTTTTGAGAGATGCTATCAAACGACGAGGGGTGAGATGATGATAAAACGTTCTGCTCTTCAGTGCTCTAATTGGCAGCAGCTCTCCTGGAGGCTTCTTTTAGCCGAGACAGAGCAAGGCAGCCACCCCAGGCTGTTGTTGCTGAGGATGGGGAGTGGCTGTGAGATGCTAGAGGACCACGCTCTAGGTTCCACACTACCTACATATCTTCTGGTTCCCTAAGATTGTTTACATCCTTCAGGTGCAACCAAGAACATTGCCCTCTCTACCAGTGTTGAAATGAGATTTGATGGCTAGTCCACTTATTTCTGTACTTGAAAAATAGTTCATCTTCTTGGCCTCCACTTCAGGCAGCAAAAGAGTGAAGGTTGTCCCACTTCAGCATCACTGGAGGAGGTCTCACCCAGTCCCTGATTCTTTTAATGCAGGGATGGGGAAGTTTCCATCCTTAGGCTTCAATGAAAGATGCTCTGAACTCCCCACACCCCAAATCAAACCTAGATACGTCTTGATCTGATTTAGAAAAATATTGCCACACCTAGAACCTTCAGAACAAGACATTTGAGGGGAGAAGCTATAAGATGGAAGGTCTGTGGGTACAGAAACAGCTTTGGAGAATGAATACAGCCTGCAGGCCCCATTATAGGAGGTGAGGCTGAGGAGCCTGATGCCGAGAGAGGCCCAGAAGGAGAAGACACGAAACCGGGCCTTCTCGGCGGTGGCTCCTCGCCTATGGAACAACCTCCCTCTGGAGATCCGCACAGCACCTAGGCTGGGAATCTTTAAAACCCAATTAAAAACATGGCTATACATCGAAGGTCTGTGGGTACAGAAACAGCTTTGGGGAATGAATACAGCCTGCAGGCCCCATGATATCAACCCCATCTAGTAGATTAAGTGCCTTCAGCGTATAGAGCCATTGGACTATAATCCTCCTGTATCCTAATTTATGTTTCCACCAGATGTCTCAAAAGACTGTGTGTTTTATATGACCGCGGCCCTCCCTGCTGCCCTCTGCCCTTTGCCTCTTATTTGGAGCGCTGTATCTTCCTCCGCAAGAGCTATAGGGCTCTGGTAGCCTATTGTGTGTGATTACCCTCCAAATGGGTTTCGGTTGGTTTGCTCCTTCTGAGGAGCCTTTGGGATCACAGAGCCCCTTTCAACCTTTTGCAGGACTTTGAGATGGATGTGGTTGCAATGGTCAATGATACGGTAGCAACAATGATATCCTGCTACTATGAGGACCACCGATGTGAAGTTGGCATGATAGTAGGTAAGTCACATACTCTTGCATATTTCTCTTTCAGCAGAACAGAACTAGTGAATGCTGGAGCTTTAACTCCTTTATATCTGTACTAGCGGCAGGTTTATATAGAGATAAAGAGGTGGCTTACAGCAGATCAGACTGTTGATATCTCCAACCTAATACTATCTACTGTGACTGCCAGTTATTTGTTAATAGAGAGGAGTAGAACCTGCAGACCACATGCAGCCCCCCACAAATTTCTTGATTTCCTTTGTTGTTGTTGTTGTTGTTGTTGTTGTTGTTGTTGTTATATGCTATCAAGCCACTTCTGGTTTATGGTGACTTTGTGTATTAGTAATCTGCAAAGTGTCCTATCATTAACAGCTCTGTCAAGATAATCTGCAAAGTGTCCTATCATTAACAGCCCTGCTAAAATCTTGCAAACTCAAGGCCATGGCTTCCTTTATTGAATCAATCCATCTCATGTTTGCTTTTCCTCTTTTCCTGCTGCTTTCAACTTTTCACAGCATTATTGTCTTTTCTAGTAAGCTTGTCTTCTCATGGTATGCCTAAATATGATAGCTTCACAGTTTAGCTTCTAGTGAGAGTTCAGGCTTGATACTGTATTATCTAGAAACCACTTATTTGTCTTTCTGGCAGCCTGAGTTAATTTCCCTCCCTATTAACTGTCTTCATGTCCAGCTTCACATCTGTTCATAGTGATTAGGAATACCATAATAGGGATGATACTGACTTTAATCTCCAGTGACACATCTGTACACTTCAGGATCATCACTGCTGTTGACAGTTTTCCCTTGCTCACCTATCACTATAGCTGAAGTTGCTGCCACTGCTCCTGCTGTCACCTCCTGCTACCCCCAATCTGGGGATTTGCCAGATTCTTCCAACTAGGAGCACTGGGGTTTGAACTCAAAACTTTATGCTGTGGGCTGTGCCAATCAGCCATGGTGCCTTTCCAGGGCTTCAAATATCTCTCTGTGCTACTAGTATATCTGTGGATGTTGACAGAAGCCTCAGAGATCAGCTGACAGGTTTAAATCAAAAAGAGACTTTGCTTATTATCATCCTCCGTGGACCTAATTGATGATTCATTCTAGATGGCCATTAATACACTGTTCTTGTCCATTTAAATTTAAACACGCCCCCTGTCGTTCTAGTTCAGATTAAGAAAGAACATTGTGGAAGCTTCGTGTGCTTGGTTTTCCTGTAATAGGCAGGGAGGGCAGGAGGTGTGTGTACCAGAAGGGTTGAAAACAAGTACCTGCATATGATATGCCCTTTATTTGAAGAAGTGTAACATTGTTTGCGATGCTGTGGTACCAGGTTGCCTAGAAAGAGTTTTTAAATGTGCTCAAATGCTTGATGTAGTCAAGGTGTTACTTGAGGGTTCTGGGAATACATTTTATACAGCAAGTGGGCATTCTCAAACACCCTTTTGTCAACACAGTCTCCTATGCTGTCATCACGGATGGTAGTGTTAATTTACATTGGAAGATTTTTAAAAAACGGGAATATAAATGTGTGTCAGGCAGGACTGAGGCCTAAATGGCCTTCCTTCAATTAATTGCATTACTAGAAAAGCAAGAGCAGTTGTACTCTGTAGCCCAAAGCACTCTGTGTACCACTTCCTTCTGCAACAGGATTGTAAAACCGACATTGGCTAAGAGGTACAACTCGTTTGTCTTCTATTCCATTCCACATCAAGACTTTAAAATGATGTAAGCCATATACAGTATGTAGAACATGGCCAATGGATCCTCCTTTGTTGTTGCAGGCTGAATACTTTGGAAGGTTATTGGGGGTGGGTGGAGGGGGGGCAGACGTGAAGTGTTAGGTGGGGCCCGAACCAAAGGCAGGAAGACCCATTCCTTCCCATTCCTTTTTCTGCCAGCCCCTCTTTTCTGTATTTCTCTTCCTCTGCAGTTCTTTGTTCAAAACAAAACTGCTCACATACACCTTAGGCCTCCTTATTCAGCTGAGTAACCTCTGAAGGGTTTCTACGCCACACTTTTCGTGTGATCAGACAGCAGCAAAGGCAGGATGGAGCATATTTCCCCATACTTTGTGTGATCACTGCGGAAACAGATTGCACTGGGCCTCTGTATAAATGGTCCAAATTCCAATGTACCGTATTTTTCCACATATAAGACTATACTTTTGTCTAAAATCTTTAGACTAAAAATTGAGGGTCGTCTTATACACGGAAGTAAGCTGAGGAGAGAACAAAAACAAGTGGCAGGGAAAGCAGGAATCTAAGCGATCCTGCAGCACTTTGATCCCTACACTTGCTAAGTCCCATTTAGATTTCTTAATTTTGGATTTGAAAAGTGGCAGGCGTCTTATACATGGGGGCATCTTATACACATAAAATACGGCATTTCCCCTTGTGATCACAGCCTTAGGGGAGAATTGTACCTCCTAAAGATGTGATTTTTTCTATTATATTGGGGGGGGGAAATATATATAAATTATATAGGGCAAACTGTACATGAGGAAGGAGTAAAAAAATCTCTTTTCCAGCATAGCTGCTTCTGTTAAAATCAAAGTTGGCATGTATTGCTTTAAGTATGTGTGTTTCTCGCTGTATTGGAAAACTCACAAAGAACAATACTAATGCTACTCAAGAACTTGATAGTGTGCCATTTGCGGATTGACTGACATGGAGAATTTCCCTGCATTTCCAATCTGCCAGGCACAGGTTGTAATGCTTGCTACATGGAAGAAATGCAGAATGTGGAGCTGGTGGAAGGTGATGAAGGTCGGATGTGTGTAAATACTGAATGGGGAGCCTTTGGGGCATCGGGAGAGCTGGACGAGTTCCTCTTGGAGTATGATCGTGTGGTGGACGAGACCTCGCTTAACCCCGGTCAGCAGCTGTAAGGAATATGTCAGATAAAATTAACATAATAGCTTCTTGCTTTCCTAGTTTCCATGTTCCCCTCCCTTCCTAGCTGACCAGAGAGTTGGGGAAGAGGGACACGTGAGCTCTCATGAATCCTTTGGCCACACACAATTCATAGATCTTGTATGACTGGAGAGAATTTTTCCCCAGCAGGAAAAAAAAGTTTGTGGGGTAATCCCATGGTTATCTCCGCTCATTAGAGTAAGTGGGTAAAACCTTGGAAATATTTAAGGATAAGAATTTGAATGGAATCCAGGATTAAGAAAATAATTTTCCTGTCCTTGGGGCTCTATAACCAGTCTGCCAGAACTACATGTCTGAAATAAAATCTATGAAACAAGAAAGTAATTTCAGTTTCTAATTACATGCTATCTCTAATGTGTAATTTGACCCTAATGTCACAGTCCCCTAAGATGTTCTCCTTCCTGCATTTCCTATACATGCTATCTCTAATGTGTAATTTGACCTTAATGTCGCAGTCCCCCTAAGATGCACTTAATGTTCTCCTGCCTGCATTTCCTGTTGAAATAAATGTGTAGTGCCCTACAAAGAATGGTGGTTGTTTTTTTTCCTGCAGATCAGAGAAATATCTGTTGTTGTCCAGTAACAATAAGTTCATCTTTGTTCCCCATTCATGATGTATACACACATATTGAGGACATAATTTATCCTTCCTATGTGTGCTTGTCTCTGGTTTGCATATACATACAGATTCCTACCTGTGTATTACTAAACTAATGAATTTCCCTGCTTTGCTCCAGGTATGAGAAGATCATAGGAGGAAAGTACATGGGAGAAATTGCACGACTAGTGTTATTAAAACTCGTTAATGAAAACCTGCTCTTCAATGGAGAAGCTTCAGAGCAGCTGAAAACCAGAGGATCTTTCGAAACTCGTTTTATCTCACAAATCGAAAGGTTAGGTTTTGTGAAGTATGTTGTCCTGCCCGCATTTGCTGTTCGATCACAGGCTTCCTTAGTCCTTCACTTTATCCCCTTCACCACACTGGGTATATCTTTCTTTCTTATCTGCCCTGTTGGATTCTGTGCTGCTAGGGGTAACTCACTGGAAATGTATATGCCTTACCTTGGGAGGTTAGGTTGGCCCCAAAAGCTGAGAGCTTTTTGTTTCAGCTGGTGTTGGATCTAGCATAAGGGGACTATTCTCCCAAATGGACCACCAAGATGGAAAAAACAATGGGGTGATTTAAAAACCCGAAGGTCTTCATATGTCAACTCACTTTGCACCTGGAGCCATGCTCTTTGCTCATATAAATTTAAAGCATCAAATTGTTCAAGTTAAAGTGTGCTAGCTTTTCAACCTCCTCTTCTTTCAACCTGAGAACATCTCTGTTCTAAATGCTGAAGGACTATCAGAGTATGAATTACAGAGGATAACAATAAACTTTTGGGATTACTATACATTTTTTTTTGTTTTCTTCAGTTTGTTGACTGATGGCCTCCCCAGCCACTTCCTGGCAACAGTCCTTCTTCACATGATGTACCTGAAGTTCAAATTTCTGCTAGTTGGGCTTATATTTCACTATCTTCTCTCATTGCCTTCTTCAGGTCATCAGAGGTAGCCCTTGCCACAACGTTAAAGCCTTCTGCTCTTCTATGTCAAGAGCAAGCATCCTGTGGCCTATGGGCTGCATTGCAGACCCCAAAATTCTTTTCATGGCTCTGGGTCCTTAATAGGTGTCCTTGACCCTGCAAAAAAAGCATCCTGCAAAAGGATGTTTGCCAGAAGCCTCCAGGAGATCCTGGAAGCCTGCAGGTGCAGTAATCCTTCTAAACAAGGGGCAGACCCAACTCCTTTAAAATTATTATTATTATTTTTTTCATTAGAGAACCCAGACATCATCATCATCATCATCATCATTAGAGAACCCATAGTGAATGCCCAGCCAGTTCTGGTTTTGTTTTCTCCATTTTCCCCTATGTGTGTGTATGTGTGAGAGAGAATGAGAAGAAGAGAACCTACCATGGGTGCTGGGCATGGGGGACTGTCCCAGATTTTCAGAACTTGCCCTCCCCTGGGACCAAGGAGGCCACCTTTCACTAATGTAATACAGCACAGGTAGATGGGTCAAATCTCAGTGGGAGAGCACATGCTACAAGAAGTCCAAGATTCAACATCCAACATTGCCAGCTGGTGCAGTCGAACACCCTTGTCTGATATCCCAAACAACACTAGAGTTAGTGTGAAAAAAAAACCATACAAAAACTGGATTGACCAATGCTCTTATTTTCTATAAAGCAGCCTCCTAAGTTTCTTAAACAATTTAACTTACATAGTGTTATCTCCTAGGAAACCTTGGGAAGCATATTTCATTTAAGAGGCTACAAATTGCAATTGTTATTAGAAGTTCTTGTGTATTATAGAATGTGAGGTGTGTGTGTATGAGTTATAGCTTCCTTGTTCCCCTACCTGTTTGAAACCTAGGGGGAATGGACATCCCCCCACACACACCTCCATGGTAAGAGAACTGAGCATTATGTTGTTCTCAGTGACACAGGTGACCGAAAACAGATCTACAACATTCTGACATCCTTCGGGCTGTTGCCCTCAGCAACGGACTGTGACGTTGTTCGAATGGTGTGTGAGAGTGTTTCCACACGGGCCGCGCAGATGTGTTCAGCTGGGCTGGCTGGTGTAATTAATCGCATGAGGGACAGCAGGAGTGAGGAGACCCTGAAGATAACAGTGGGAGTTGATGGTTCTGTCTACAAGCTCCATCCCAGGTGAGGTTTGGGATCTTGAGTCTTTTAAGACATCTGGGCGCTTCTGAATCAGAGCTGTAAAAAAACTAGAAGGTGTCCCTGTAACACAGGGATGGGGACATCTGGTCCTCCACATGTTTGGAAACCCTAACCAGCGCAATTCCAATTTGGTAAGGGATTATGGAAGTCATTGAAGAAAAAACGTCTGGAAAGCTAAAGTTTCACCTCTCCTACTTTAACAGCAGATCTTGTTGGATTCAAGATACTGCTAGGCAACTTTCTGAAGACATCTTCTAATAGTTTTTGTTGTTGCCGGATTAAGGTTCTACTTGCATTCCACAGAAGTAAGAAGGGATCCTCTTATCATCAGGGCCTGCTACCGGCAGAGAAAGGTCGGAATTGAACCACACTGAATAAAACTTCTTTACTCATAGCTTGGCTAATATTGATGAAGGAGTATTATTTGGGGTATTATTTTTGTCTTCCCTTTTGAATTGTCTGTATTTTCTGCATCCACAGGAACATTCCAGTGGTATTCCAGTCCTCTACTTATCTTCCCTAGGGTATAGATTATTTTGGATTTTCTTTGGTGGGCTGAAAGATTTATGGATGGGTGAAGGACAAAGAAACTTTGATAGAAAGCTTCCTTGTCTTTTACAACAAAGGAAGCAACTGGATTCTTTATTCTAAATGCCTTTTGACTATAATCCTACAAGCTTTTGTGATCTCCTGTAGTTTGCAAATTACCTTCTTTTATTTTATGATAGTTCATCACAATTTAAATGTTTTGGATTCTAATTGCTTAGACAAAACCCTGAGAAAGGACTGCATGGTTGAAACACTCCAGTGTTTTGCAGTGTCTGATTGGACCTTTAGAGACAGGAATCACTACTCATGAAAGGTAAACTAGTGGTTTGCCACAGCAAAGGGTATGATTGCACTGCTTTGCAACACAAACAACGGATTATATGTTACACAGAAATGAAGAGGGATTCCAATTTATGGCTTGGGAAATTACTTTTTTGAGACGACAGCTCCCAGAATCCTCTTACCAAGATAGTCATTGGTTATATTGATCGGGGATTCTGAATATTGTAATTAAGAAAAGTAACTTTTCTAGGCTGTGTTCCTAATTTATCTACATAAATTAAGAATGGACCTAAGGATAGTACCAAACATTAAACATGCTTGTCATTTAACACTCGCATCCTATATTTGTTTGCTCAGAAGTAACCTATTAAGGTCACTGGGATTTACACTCAGGTAACTGTATATAGGAGGGGACGTGGTGGTGCTGTGCGTTAAACCACAGAAGCCTCTGTGCTGCAGGGTCAGAAGACCAGCAGTCGTAAGATCGAATCCACGTGATGGAGTGAGCTCCTGTCGCTTGTCCCAGCTCCTGCCAACCTAGCAGTTCAAAAACATGTAAAATGCGAGTATATAAATAGGTACCACCTCAGTGGGAAGGTAACAGCATTCCATGTCTAGTTGTGCTGGCCACGTGACCACGGAAACTGTCTTTGGACAAATGCTGACTCTATGGCTAGGAAACGGGGATGAGCACCACGCCCTAGAGTCGGACACGACTGGACTAAATGTCAAGGGGAACCTTTACCTTTACCTAACTGTATATAGGATTTCAGCCTTACATCCTGATGGCTCTTTTATTTTTTTTTTTCAGGAAAACTCTGCTTTAATAGAAAAGCTTATGATGGGCCTGGGTGTGCTAGCTTAACTTCCTCCCACCTACTGTTTTAATGTCTCAGTTCCCTTCAGCCATTTCCCACACTCTGTGGGGTTCCTGGTATGTGTTTACTTTGCCGGGACCTTGCGAAGGGAAAGAGTTAGAGCAGAAGAGTGGCAGGAAAGCAAAGGGTTAAGTATGTGCATTCATGTGTGAGATTTAGTTTGGCCTTGATTCAACCCGTTTGAAAGGATTGCCGAAGACATCTTGCAGGGGCATATCCGTGGCTGGAATTAGGGCTGAGCCCCGTGCTTTCATTTGGCCTCATAAATTAGTATTGCTTTTCCTTAAGTAGCACCGTGCTGTTAGCAAGAAACTTCATGCTGCTAGACAGGAGATCAGAAACAATAGCTGGAAGAGGAAACTCCCAGAGGCCGTCTTCAGAGCCCATGCTAAAATGTACTTCTATGAACTGGATTTCTGGACACTGTGAAGGGCACGTCCGCAGGCTGTGGTGCCTTTCGAAGCTGTGCGCTTGGTGCAGCGATGTGGTGGGGAAAAGAATGCTGGGATTCCTGGGAAGGGTTGTCCGAACACGAGCTTCTGTGGAGTCAAATGAAATCAGAAATGGGGAAATTATCCATGAATACTTGTCCTCTGTGGAGAGAGAGGTGACATGTTGGTCTCAAAAGTCTTCTTTCTTTTCTCTCACTTGCTCTCCCCAGTTTCAAAGATCGGTTCCATGCAACCGTCAGACAACTGACACCGGGCTGCGACATCACCTTTCTGCAGTCGGAGGAAGGCAGCGGCAGAGGGGCTGCTCTCATTTCCGCAGTGGCCTGCAAGATGGCCTGCATGATTGGCCAATGAGCTGGCACCAGCAATGGACCATCGCGAAAGGGAAAGGAACCTGCCTTGGGAACACGACTCTTCCCTCCAGGGGGGGCAGGTTGAGTTGTTTGAGAGGGTGCCAAGGAATAGAGCCAGCGGAAGGAAGGACGGAAGGAAGGTTTTTCTTGGGGGGAGGGATGGGGGGAATGGAGTAACACTGGGTTTCTCCTAACCTCTACCTGTAGAGGACATCATAACCATTCAAAACCACAGCCTCTCCTTTCTCTTCTTCAAACCATCTCCACTACTGTAAAGTCTGTGGGGGCTTCAGTTTACATAATAAGACATTTTACATAGTTGAGTGGAGGTGGGACGGGTGAGAGAGAGCTGAGAAGTCAATAAATGTGTCTTTTCTTCTTCTTCTTTTTCCGTTGTGCTCAAGAGGAGGAATCTGGGATCTAGTTTGCCTGAAGGGATAGCAAAGTTCTGTTTTCTCCCATGGGGACTGTATAGCAGGCCGTTGGGTCAGATGCTCAGGGGCTCACGGAGAAATGAGGCCCCCGAAGGTAGAGGAACTAGACTGTTGCATTTGAGTGATTGAAATGATGCATATTTATAATCCAAAGGATGGGGACATAAGTCCATTACATTCAGAATCTAGAATTTCCTAATTGCAGCCCTGGTTTCTTTTGCAACCAATCAGGACCAGACGGGAACAACAAATTGTACATTTTGTTTTTATCAACTGTTGGTGAGAAACTAGGACCAACATTTAGCAAGGAAGATGATAAAGTAGAAATAAAAATCTCCCACTAGTCTCGAAGGTGTGATAACATTTCTCACCAGCTCCTCCTCCGTGCTTTTTAATGTGTCAAACAGAGTTCAAACTGCTGTGTTCGTAAGAAGAGAGAAATTAACTGACAAATAAGATGTCATTGAATTTCCAGACTGATGTCAGACATTAAAGCCAAACTTGCAAACATAAATTAAAGGGCAGGCTAAATAACTATTAGTTCAAAGTGTTGATCCCATAAGTCAAGACAATCTCTATGCCCTGTTTCAACATTAATGATTGTTAATACAGAGGAGGCATGTGACTGAACAAACGCTTGGAGAGCTGGCAAGAAACATAAAGCATTTTATGATTAGAGAGTTAAGATCATAAGAGATATTGATGCTGAGTCAGAATAAATATATATCTATACGAGCACTCTGCTCCTGCAGTGGCCAGCCTAATGTCATCAGGAAGCCCACATGGGGGCGGTAAGTATTGGAAGGCATGTCTGAGCATTACAGCTCTGTTTTCATAACTGTATTGCGACTCTATTTTTTAAAATAAAAGCAGGATGGAGGGGAAGATTTAAACTTTCCTCAACTGCATGTATTTACAAGGCCATGTGTGCTTACTTCAGAGCAAGGGTGAGCAATTACAGAGGTGTAGAGGCTATATATGTGCAGCCTGAATGCTGGAGGACTGTTCTAATCATCCTTACTCAAAACCTTTTCTTGTAAAACATATGCTTTTAACTGAAAAATGGCCTGGTGTCTTCTAGTGGTCATAAAGTTGTTAAAATACATATTTTTTTAAAAAAAAGTTTGAGGGGGGTGCTAGAAGGCCCTCAAGCATGGGGAAGTTATTTCTCAAAGATCCAATAAAACTTTCTGAGGCAAAATTTGTTAGCGCAAGAACGTGGAAAACATAAGCAGAGTTAATAGAATAAAGTCCAGTCCAGTTTTCTGAATTTTAAAATATGAGGGGTAAATGTTGCACATTTCTGCTTTAGAGGGAAAAGATAGAAGCCAGAATCCTGTTGGTTTTCATTTGAGGTTTGTGTAACTTGATATGGCTCATTGCAGCTAATTAATGCAATGCTGTGGCCCATCTCAGTCATGTCTTTGGTCATGTGTTTGATTCTAGAACTAAGATGCACCCCAGCATCTCATTAACTGATTGCAGTAAATGTGCTTGAATATCAATGGCATTCTGGCCTAAGAGTCTTAGAAAGAGAGTCTCATTAACACAATGAGTTGCTAAGCCCTCATGTAATAGATGTTAAGTGTGCTATGTCCTTCTGTATGTTCCCAGGTGGGGTAGAACCTGGGGAAATTGCTTGTAAACATCACCAATTTTAAAGCAGCCCACCCAAACAGGTGGGACACAGGGAGAAGGAAACACCCCACCTCACCCCGCAAGAAGGTCTTACAATACAATTTGGTTCACAAATTGCAATCTCATGGATAGCTTAAAGGAATAAAACCACAAGGAGCTGCCATCATAAGGCTCCAGTTTAGAAAAATATGAGATCAACCAAAGACTGGCTAACATTTCATACTATGGTGCAAAGAAAAGATCATGGTGTGGATTTGCATCAACTTATGGTAATTATACATCTGTTTACATTTCTACTACAGGGATCTTACACTTGTGAACAGACAGTATTCCCAAATGCTTTGGGCTACAACTCTCACAGACCATTACTGTGAGCCATGATGGGAATTATAGGCCATAACATCTGGAGGCCCAAATTTTCTCCAGAGATGTGTTGAAAATTGTACAGGTACCACACAGGAAATAGCAACAGGTGCCTCTTACTTCTGGCCTGCTCAGCAAATAGGTGGAAGGTGTGCTGACGTAGATGGATTGCTACGCTTTGTGCATTGCATCTGCACAGGATCTTGATTTCTGGACACACAGTTGTTTGGCACACTCTCTCTCTTCCCACTGCCATAGTATTGGTNCCCCCCGCCTTTCCTCCAGCATCTCCTGCTATCCTATTTATGGATCCAGGGACCCTTTTGTATTAAAAAAAATATAAGAATAAAAAATTTAAAACAATGTACAGCATCCCTGTTGTATCTATTCTTTTAACCAAAAATTATTCATGCAACAGTCTGTAGCATTTGGAATAAAGATATTAGAGGATGCTGTAGAGCCTGCAGGAAAACTAAAGCAATCCTCAGGGATAATTCTTCTGCATTAAGTGGGAACTGCATCCCCACAAGTATGCACAGGATTGCAGATCAAGAGGATTTGTGTATTTGAGGGGACACCTTGGGGAAAAATTAGCACACAAAATGATAGTATAGGGAAGTCACAATACAAATGAAGTTTACCTACAAGATCATACAGTGTTCCAGGATAGGAAGCAATGAAGCAGCAGCAACCAAAGGTCAAAGTCCAAAGAAAACATTACATAAGGTAGAGGAAAGGAACAGCCAAATCCTTTAGGTGTTGGTATTGGTAATACAGTGACAGATTTTACTTTCTTGGGCTCCATGATCACTGCAGATGGAGACAGCAGCCATGAAATTAAAAGACGTCTGCTTCTTGGGAGGAAAACGATGACAAACCTCAACAGCATCTTAAAAAGCAGAGACACC